TTCAATTTATAAATTTTTTAATATGAGAAATATTAATTTATGATATATTCTATATAACTTGTACTATATTCATTATAATAAAATGGATAATAAGAAATAAATTATCAAATATGTTATCATATTTTATCATTTTTTTCTTAAGTGTGAATCAGATTAATTCGTTTGAATTTTTATTTAGATAGTATTATTAAATAAATTTTTATGGATATTTTCATAATAATGTTATTGATAATATTCAAAAATTGAATTATAAAAATTCGAAATATTCAGAAATTTTTAAATATTTTTGATTAATTCTAAAAAACGAAATATAACTTATAAAAAATTTTGAAAAATAAAGTTTTTATTTTCACTTTTCTGAATTTAATTTTTCCAAATTTCTTTAATGAAAATTAATTTTTTAATTTTATATATAAATATATATTTTGGAATATAAAATTTTTTATCTTTATGAAAAGTTTAGCCATTTATTTCTAAAATATAATATTATAATAATATTAATAAATTTAGATATTTTTATGGTTTATTATTTTAAATCACATGCATAGTAAATACGATATGCATTTTTTATAATTTTATTATTTGAATTTTTTCAATAAATTTATAGTTTTAAAATTAGATATGTACATAATATTATGTAAAAAAATTTAATCAAAAATAAAAATTACATTAGATGAGAAAAAATAAACTTTTATGATGAAATTATAAAAAGTTATAAAAATATTATACAAATATTAAACAAATACATTGAAATATTATCCTACAAATTTATTTTATAATATTTATAATCATTTACTTATCAAATTAGCATATACTTCTTACTTAAAACGTTCAATTTTGACTTATATGGATATTGCATAAAGTATATTAAACAGCTAATATTCGCGTAATATTTAATTAATTGTTTCTCTTATAGACAAAAAAATATATATGTATATGATTTTAATTACAAATATGCTTGCAAATATTTGTAATTAATTTTATAATTCAAATAATATAATAAAAATAAATGAATACAAATATATACAAATATATTTTAGTATTAGTAATATAATAATGATTTAAATACACAGAAAATGACGATAAAGAAATCTAAATCTATAATTCCTAGAAATAAAACTTTATAAAATCGATAATTTTGACAATAAATAGTTTTGATAATTTTACTCAAATAATATAATTCAAATTCCAATTCAAAATTGCAATGATTCAAAATAAAAATTGAATTCGTAAAAATTTATACTATTTTATATTTCGGTCAATTTAGAGTATCTTATATATATATTTAAATAAGATAGAAAGATTCTCAAAACGTTTCTCTTAATTACTTGCATTTCTTTCTATATAATCCTGTAATAAAAATTGTCATATGCTATGTGGTATATGAACAACTATACAAGCTTACTATACACTCAAGAATTCAGGTTAAACGATTTATTACAGGTCGTCCTTTCACTAAAATCGAACGATCTCGCATCGAAAGTAAAAATAATCAACCCAATACTTTTTATAAGAGATGGGGTATAAAAGTATGAAGATGTTTTTAATTTGAAATTAATTTTTATGATATTTATTATTTTTTAATTTGACAAATAAGTTGTATTAGAATAGAATTTAAATTCAATTCTTTATAATATATGAAATATAAAATTAAAAAGTTTTATGCATAATATTTCTTATCTTGGTTAATATCTATAATTTTCAACTAAATTGATGGATTTTTAAAAATAGATTCTAAGAAGGAATATATGAGATTTATTTTAAGATAAAAATTTTTAATGAATATTGATTTTAATAACTAAAAAAATATTATTTTAATGTTTTAATTATATGTTTTAATGTAATAATTTTGTATTGTATAAAAAAAACTATATTGAAATTCTTGATTTTTCTAGTTTTTTGAAAGTATATATATTAATATAAATGTATAAAATATTTTTTAATATTTAATTGTTTTAAATTCATAATATCAAAATTAACATGAATCAATAAATTATTAATCAATTTGAGATAATTATAAATCTGTTTATAAAATTATTGTTTTGACATAATGTTTAAATTAGAAAGATATATTTTTCACATGATAATTAGTACACAAAAAAATTGATTTACTCGAATATCTAAAAAAACTATTTATAATACAAAAAATCGAATAAAAATTTAATAGTTTTATGAAACACATAACTTGACATAATTAATTTTTTTACGAATAAATATATAAAGAACATGTACAGAACCATTTGTTTTTTCAAATTGATATATATTTTTTATCACGCCATTTTCTATAAAAAAAAATATTAATATTTTCAACATAAAATTATTAATTCAAGAATTATTTTGATTTGAACATCGCGTACTTTCTTAAAGTCGATGTTCAGATCTCTCAACCTGAATACAAAAATTTATTTTATTTTAATGATTTATAAAATTTTTTTTAAAAAAATTCTTTCTGTAAAAATTTTTTGACATTTCTGAATGATTTTCTAATAATTAATAATTGCATATTCTTCTATATATGTTCTATTTTTTTAAATATTCTCATAAAAAGAAATCAAAATGTTTAGTCATGAATGAAATGCATAATTTATTGATCTATTATTAATTTACTAATTAAAAATACCATTTTCAGTTAAATGCAAAAGAAGAATAGGATCGGGTTTATATTCTTATTGCATAAAACAATCAAAAATGTATAAAAAAATTCATTCACACATAATAATTCAAAAACTATAAAAAAATTTTTATAGTTTTTACAAGATTCTCAATTTCATTAAGAGCACTATCTCTGAACGTGAGAAACGATTCGAAATTAATCAGGAAGTAATGTCCGTTTCGAAAGTCGTGGGAAGAGGAACAAATCGTTCCGTTTAAAATATTATCGACTTTCTCTGCGCTTTAATGATGTCTCGTTTTCTTGTATCGTTCAAAATATTCTTTTCATTCATAATTTATGCATTATGAATTTCGTAAATGATCCTATACGGTTACGGTTTTAAAAAATTAAAAATGATCATAGAGACGAAAACTTTCTTTAACAAGAATTCGCTAATCATTGCATCGTGTATATATTAATAAATTATTCGATATTCGTATCGAAGTTTGATGGTATATTGAATGTTTATATCGACAAGATTGTAATTAAAAAAACTGTAACATGTTAATTGTCAATTCTTTTTGTATGATTGAATGTAAAATTATTATACAATTTTATTATGTTCGATATATACATTATTTAATTTTATTAAAAATGATAAGATTTTTATATTGTTTCATATTGGAAAATATAAGCGAAATAAATAGATTGTATTATATTTATCTGTAAATAACTTTATATACATAATTTTAAATTTTATATGTATAATTCATTTCAAACATTTCATTACATAATATATTTTATAATATGCAACATTACATAATACATTTGCATACTACATAATACACTATTAGATTTACATGTCTTTACACCAAATAAAATAATTATAAAATACATGTAATTATATTTGAATATTTTATTAATGACTTCGAATAAAAGTAAAATTAAAGATCCAAAAAATTATAGTTATAGTAAAATTATAGTTAAATTAAAATTAAGATTAAAAGTTATATTATGAAATAAAAAAATAAATAAAGTAAAAAGAAAAATTAGAACCGATTAAATATGATTTTATTATATTTACATTACGTTTTCTCTAAATTTTCCAGTTAATAAATTAGAATATTATAAGAAATAAAAAAATTTAATTAAAATTAATTTTAATTATGATTAAAAGAGAAGATCAAACAAATAAGAAAATAAAAATATTTATTGTATTCATTATAAAAATATTTCAAGTGATAATTAGCAAATACCTTTTTAAATTATTAGGTTTTACTAAAATAATTACGAAAAACAAAAGTAATGATAAGTTATAATAATATCACAACTCAAAAGCAATCATAATATCAACAAAAATGAATTGCTCTAATTACATAAAGAAATTAGGAAGCAATTTTAAATCAGATTAAAATTAAAGATAAAAACGTTCATATGTTCGTAATAAAAGCATCACATTAAAATAAACTTTTAAACATCATAAGAATTATGATTTACGGTAATAATTATAAGAATTATTATGGTTAGAATTATTCATATATGCATATGAATTATATAAACCAAATATTAACTAACAAGTATCTTAATTAATTTATATATTGTATGTTAATTAACAATCAATTTCTATATTATTTTTAATTTCCTGATTTTTAAATTTTTTCATTTTTTCCAATATTCCATTTAAAGTTTATTAAAAATTTTGCAATTTTTTCAAATATTTAATATTTTAGCAATAATATCGCAATTTCGACTTTTCAATTTAAAAATTTTCCATTTTTTGTTTGAAAAATCAAATTTAAATTTTCAAATTTGAAATTTTTTCCAATTTTTGATTTTTCAATCTTTTGATATATACTTGTATAGTTTAATAATTTTTATTATTTAAATACTTTAATTTTTTTGAAATTTCAATCTTCCAATCCTTCAATATTTCAAATTTTTAATCTTCTTTAAATTTTTTAATTTTTCAATCTCTCTATATTTTTAACTTTTTATTTATTCATATTTTCGAATCTTTCATTCTTCGTCATTTCAATATTTTTATGCCACAAAATGTATTTTAATTTCTTCATCTTTCAACTCTTTGATCTATTCTTTCGAACGTTCAAACATCCATCATACACACAGTTTCCTTAAAAGAAAAAAGTAAAAGGAATCTTGCAACCAAAACTGTTCGAATGTTAAACAAAAAAAAAGAACGTAGCAAACGACATACCGAATGTAGAAAATAATGATTTCGCTTTCAGAAATATTCTGTGAAACGGAAGAAAAGCGAAAGGTGGCAAAAATCCTCCGTCCTCTTAAATGCCAGGAACGCTATACTCTGCCGGGCGTAAAAGTGAAGGAACACCCGTTATATAACGGGACTATAGCGTGTTCTGCAGTGAATGCACGCGTTTGATCGTGCATGCCGGCCGATTATGCAACTACCGGCATAATAGCATTAGTTGGCTGCATATTCCTTGTGGATGGTACTTGGTCAGGTTGCTCGAAGATGTAATACGAAAGAATTTCCTCCTGGATATAAGTGGAAAGTGAACGTCTTCTTAGTGCAATAGAAAAAAGAATAAACAGAAAAAAGGAAAAGACAGTTGATTAAATATTTTTTTTGCTTTGAGGTTAGGCTTGAACTCGATGGATTCAATTTAATTAATTGGATAAAATCGTTGCAGTCTATAAGGTTTGAGCAAGTAATTGAATGAGAAATATAATTGAATAATATTTGATGCTTTAATGCAATTGCAACAATTTTGTAATGGTTTGATGATTATTTTGCTATAGTAGTTTTCAATTTTGAAAATCGATTGATATCCAATTATTGAATTGAATTAAAATGAAAAATTGAAATAATCGAAATAAAATATTGTATTTTTAAATTATATAAATGTAATATAATTTAAAATATTAGTTTTTCAGAAGAATTACCTTTATATAAGAATATAATTATATAAGAATTTTTATCAAACTTATTAATTAAAAAAAATATATTCATGAAATAGAAGGTATTATTTTTAAATATGATTATTTTATTTATGAAAAAATTTTAAATATTTTTCCTAGTAATAATTTAAAAAAAAAAATTTTCGTTTATAATTTCATTTATAAATGAGATATATTGTTTGTGTGGATTTATATCATAATATAAATTTTTGTTCAAAATTTTATAATTTTTAAATTAAGAATTATATAGATAATAAAAATGTTAATAATAATAATAATTAATAGAATTGAAATAAAACGAAATATTTTAAAATTCATTTATGAAAATAAAACATTGTTAGTTAGTTTAAACACATTATATGGAAGATAATATTTCAATAAATGATAAATAAGTACTTATATTGATATTTGAAAGCCATATAATGTATTTAATCCGTAAATAAATTATTAATTCGTCACGCTAAATGAATAAACCTATTATTTTTTGCATAAGACATGCGAAGTCCATTCAAAGAAATTTCTCAAATTATATTACATAAGCGGCCTTAACCAATTACATAAATACACATAAATACAAACAACAACTTTTATTTTTAGATACAGAAACATAAAAATACGGAGCAAAGAAAAAAACATTATTGTTCCTCATTGATATTTTTTTATTCCCTTATTTCTAACTAATTGAATGATGATGCAATTAACGAAAAATTTGCCAAAAAAAATATTAAAAAATCCCTTGTTATTATTTCAATACAGTTCAAAATACAGTTTTTCCTCAATCCCATATATAAATAAAAGAACGCAACTTCACCGATCATTCCACGTTCAATCCATTCACCACGTTGCATGCAGAAACAATCCTCGTGTACAATCTTAGAAGGCCTTCTCCTTGTGATATCGGACGAAGGAAATCCATGATCCCTGAATCTATGGAACGCTTATTGCCTGATCAATGATACTTCCACAGAATAGTTTTACTACATGGATCGTTAATAAAAGAGAGAGATAGGAAGCCGCACCCAGATTAGTTTTTCTTTTTTCGCATCAGCTGTGGGAAACTTGTGGCCAACGATCCGTGGACAGGAGTGCAATCATTGCACGTGATCTCGTTACGTCAGAAAATACGCGATCGATAAAAATCTTCGAGGAAGAGTTTAACTTGTAGGGAAGAGTGTGTATCAATTGAATCGATTAAATCGTATTTCGTAATCAATTTTGTTTCGTTTTTTAAATAATAATAATAATTTTTTAATAATAATGTATTATATGAATTATTTATAATAGCTGAGAGATTATTGTATATAATTAAATAACTTGATTACCGTGCTTTTCTTCAAAAATAAAAAATAATTAAATTGGCATATTTTTTAAACTAAAACTTTAAACTAACACTTATATAAATGATAATAATATTTTTCAAAATATAGAAAATATTTGCGATTTATCCACTTTCACCAAAAATAATAATAATATAAAAAGTTACGAGTGCAAAAAATATTAAATTTCATATATTATGAAAAAAACAATTCGAAAGATTATAATGTTTGATAAATGCAATTAATATTTTAAATTTGATTTTAAATTTTAATGAATATTTCTTTCACTTTTTAAAAAAAAAGTATTAGTTCAAAAATACACTTATTGAAAAAAAAGTAAACATAAAACATAGAAAAATAATCATTAATAAACTTTTTATAAAAAAAATTATAAAATAAATTCAGTTATTCAAAAATTTACAAATCAATTTATTAAAAGTTCGTTAAATAAGCTCATTCTATTCTAATAGTAGATTATCTTCTCAGAATCTTAGATTACAATATTGATGGAAAATTATCATTGAATTTAAGAATTAATTAGTTGAATCTATAATGTACATAATATAATATTATGTATAATGTTTTAAATATAGGGTGTATTTCCGTTATATTGCACATCTGTTTCTGTTTTGCTTCATCTTTGAACTTAAATAATAAATGTTAATAATTTAATGAATAAGCCTAAACCAACTATATTTTTATATACCAATATTTCTTTTGATCTTATTTTTTTTAAATCGGCCTTCTTATAATGTCTCTTGAATGCAAATGTTTAATGTGTATTGCAAATTTAAATTTTGAAGTTACAAAAAATTACTAGCAGGAATCTATGCTAAAAGAAAATTAAGATCTGCTAGTCTGAATTTTTTACAATAATAAACTGCATCGAATAACATAAATTTTTGAACATCAAAAACGGATATATTTATTATATGCAGATTGTGAAAAAATCATTTCTAGGATGTATTCTCTGTCATGGAATGTGATGCAGATTTTTTTTAAGTTTGAATAGAATACGATGCAAAAAGAAAATAATTTCGTTATGCTTTCGTGAAGTCTGACAATATGTTACATACAAATGCATGCAAAAAATGAACAATGTTTTATCGTTGATATCATAGATCTATTACAGTTTTTCTAAATTTCCACTTTCTAACAAGTCTCTTAATTATTTTTAGCTGAAGCTCTTTCGTAATACTAATCGAGGAAAACTAACATCTCAATATAATGTAATATATATATAATATATTTCTTTTTACAAAAATCGAAAAAAATTTTTATATTTAATTTTTATAAAGAAAATAATTCTTTTCTATAAATTTATAAAGGATTTTTAAAAATAAATAGAAAATTTGTTCCAATTTTATGTAGTATAATATATTAATATCTTATTTTGTTACATCATTAATGATTTATAAACATTCAATAAGTAATTGAAATAAAAAAAATAGTTTCTTATTTAAAAAATATGGAAAAACTTAAAAAAATTATCGAATTATTAAACAATTTTTTAATATTTCATAAAAATATTAAATATATTATATACTATATATAATCATCAACATTTGTAAGCGTATTACAATAATTTATAATTTTATAATATATATATGTTACATTTTTAATATAAATACACGTATTATTTTATTCTGTTCTCAAATATAATTTATTATACTTATTTTTAAGTAATATGTTCCATTAGTAGGTATAACTTTAATAAGTAAAAACTTGTTCTAGTTACTTGTTTTAACCTATTTATATCTTGCTATTTGTTAATTTATTTAGACACTTCATGATTGATTGCTCTTAAATTATTTTTATGTGAACATGTACATGGTCATTATTATAAGATTAGAAAGAAAAGAAGAAAGTGTTACAGCTATTAGTTACACTTGAAGTAACAATAGTAATAAATTGACTTGATTTTTGATCTTATTATCAAATATTTTTTATCAAATATTAATTACACATTAATGAAATAGCATTATCTAATAAATGTGTAATTTCTAATATATATATAAAGAAACTTATGTATAATTAAATTTGTATTTGAAAAAAATATCTAATAATTTTCATAAATAGAAATCTTGTATTGGATAATCATATACAATTCTATAATTTTATATAAAATATTATAAAAAATATTTTCCAAATTATTAAAACGAAAAGAAAAATTTAAAATAAATTGAAAATATAGAATAAAATTTTATATGAGATTATATTTTAGAGAAAATTAAAATTGAAAATTAAATACAATTTATTAATTACGCTAAACAATATTAAAATATCATCACACATCACATTATTCCATTATTTATAATTTCTCCAATCAGTCAAATTAGATAGATAAATTAGAAATAGATACATAAGTAATAATCATTTAAGCGCATAAATTCAAATTTAAATAAATGATTATATAAATGTACACACATTCTTTATTTATTATCGTAAAACTTGTTACGTAAAATAAATAAGATGCGTAAATATAATTAAATTTGAGTTTAAATTATGATTAATTTATTACAATTCAGTTTAAGTTTAGTTTCTTAAATAATGAATTTAAATAGCTAATAAATTTAATTTTTTATCTAATTTGAATTTGAATTTTAATTTCATATTGTATTATATATGCTCATTAAATTATATATGCTTATATCTATTTCCATTCATTCAAATTCGCATTCCTCTTTTATATTACTCGTACTTATGTCTTGAATTTTTAATCTTCCTTAATAGTAATTAAACTTTCTTTCTCGCAATTTATATTTATTTCTTTGCTTTCCCTAACTTTTTATCATTCTATCATTTTTGTATTATCCATTTTTGTTAACTTTTGCTCTTTTAGGTTCAATCATTTTAGCATTCTACAATTCTGTATCAAATGCTTTAGTCTCCCTATATAAAACATACTTCCTCTTCCCTTCACTTATTCGATAGATATTTGTTTTCTTCCAAGTTCTTGTAATTTTGTTTTGCTATTTTACGAGTTGTTTTTACTTTTTTTTCTTTTTTTAAATATGTAGTTACATATTATATAATTCGATCTTTATAAATATTAATCTAATTTTCATTGTTATTCTTCTTAATATGATAATATATTAAACAATATAAGAATTTATTATATTTCAAAAAATCAAAATATATATATTATATTTCAAAAATTTTAAATATTCTAATATTCTTTTTTAAAATGCTAATATCTTGTTATTTATTTCAAAATATTAATATAAATTTATTGATTTA